TCACAGTCAAAAATCATTCCAGGGGCTGGCCCCGTGGCCGAGTGGTTAAGTTCGTGCGCTCCGCTGCAGGCGGCCCAGTGTTTCGTTGGTTCGAATCCTGGGCGCGGACATAGCACTGCTCATCAGACCACGCTGAGACAGCATCCCACATGTCACAACTAGAAGGACCCACAATGAAGAATATACAACTATGTACCAGGGGGTTTTGGGGAGAAAAAGGAAAAAAAATAAAATCTTCAAAAAAAAAAATCATTCCAATAACTGCCACTAAATGTACTGCTGGCAGCAGTTTCTTCAGAGGTAGGAAGGGTGAGGAATCAAGTAAATATCTAAGTTTTACAGAATGAGGATGAATGTGAAAGACAGTAAAAGGGTGGGAGAAAGAATAATTAGGTGAGAGAGATCTTAACTAGACAGTGCAAGAGTGTGCGTGCGTGCGTGCGTGCGTGTGTGTACGTGTGTGTCCAAGGGGCTTAAATGTAAAAGATCAACATCCCTCAACTTGAGAAGGATCAACCCCACAACATGGGATGCTGAAACATGCTCGCCAGTCTTGCTCATTGAGCCTGTCCTCTGATTTGTAATTATGGCTGTTGGGGCTGGGTCGTTGGGGGTGGACACTGAGTACCTGCTAAGAGATGGGGAAGAAATTACACATAGCCTGCAGGTAGGTATTACTTGGAGGCAGTGAGCACATCAAGACAGATTAAAAAAAAAGTTGCAAATATAACATACTCCTCTGACCACCCAAACACTTTTTAAGTATTAATTGTCGCTAATGCTGACAGCAGCCAACCATTACACAAACAAACCCTGGAGAGAATGAAAGTAGCAGACTGGGAACAACGGAATAATTTGCTAATTGATAAGGGATACACTTTTGCCCTGACTAGCTCAGTTTCTAGTTCCTTTTTCTTCCATTTATTAGAAAGAGAGACATTTTAAATTAAACATTTTTAGCCACTGTTAGGGAATATTGATCAAAGCCCTCCTTGCTAAGTATAAGAAGGTGTGGGGAACATGAAGTTAAGACACCATCCCTGCTCACAAGAAGTTTACAATCCAGTACAGGAGATAAGCGACGTACAAAAACAACCTTAATAAAACAGACTGTGATAAGAGAAGCAGCCGCAGAATCCTACAGGACTTAGCAAAGGAGATTCCTTCCAGCTGGTGTGGTAAGAGAAAGTTTCTAAGCAGAGCCAGCATTTGTGCTGGAATTGAAGAACACATAATCTTCCTAGAGAAGTGACCCAGTTTGACTAGAACATAAGGTAGGATCTTGTAGGGCAATGACGAATGACAGGGATGGACTGGCCGATAGGAACTATAACAGGAAGGGTCCCATCCTACACCATAAACAGTTGCTATCTATCCTGTTTTCCACCAACAGTCAAAACTGTTGAAAGCTTCTGAACAGCAGCAAGGCATGATCATTACTGGCCTCTAAGAAGATTTATCTGGCAACAGCATGACAGACAGACTGAAGTGTGAAGGGACAGATGCAAATACACCAATTAGGAAGCTATTGCAATAACCTGGCTAAAATGACTACAGGCAATAGGGCCAGGGGAAAAATGAGCAAGATACAATGTAGAGATAAAATCCAGGGGAGAAGAATGACTGGTAAGATGCGGGTGACAAATGAGAAGAGCTCAAGATGACACTAAAGCGCAGATATTCCGAGCATGGGAAAATGGCAGCACTATCAACAGAAATGGGGATGAACTCATTTGTGGGAATATATAGTGAGCTCAGTTTGGGAAAACGGCCAATCATGTCAGTGACTAGGCAACTAGAAATGTTCAGAAAACAGATGGACACTGGAGTTACCAGATCTGGGAGCCATCCAACTACAGAGAAGTAACATAAGCGGTAAAAGAAGGTGGCCATGGCTGCATCTTGGAGGATACCCATGGTTAATGGGGGAGAAGACAGAAGGAGCAGTATTAACAGGGGCATCCTGACTGCCCAAAGTTCTGAATGGCAAGAGAAGTGAGATTTACAGAGGTAAGATGGTCAGAGTTTTAAATGCTCTAAAAGCCAATGCTATATTTACAGTATAGTAAAACCAAGTATAGCAGTAATAGTAAATACAGTAAGAACAAAACAAAATGCCTGGGAATGAGAAATAGCAAAATCAGAAGAATGCTTGGGGATGGGGGGCAGGTACTGGGTAGAGGGGATGACAGTGGCTGCAATATAACTAACGTGGTAACCCAGAGCTTCAGATGTATTTGTACGGTATTAGTTCTTAAGCTTGGTAAATGGGTGTTCATTATACCACTCCTCATATATATTTGTGGTTGCAATATTTTACAACTATATGTTGTGTCCTAAGAGAGATGTCTTAGTGGACAAATAGATAAAGAAGTTATCGAACCCAGATTGTAAAGGAGTTAAGAAGCAAATTATGAAGACAAGGAGGCAGAAAAGATAAAACATTCTTTGGAAAAACTGTGCAAAGCAAGCAATTAAGAGAAAAGCGGTCTGAAAAGTTTGCAGGGCCCTGGTAGAAGTTGTGTTAGTGTGTTGATGGCTTGTTTCTCACTACTGGGAAAAAAAGAGTCCCATAGGCAAAGGGGACGAAGCCAGCGGAGAAAAGGATATTGAAGATCTAAGCCAGAGGGAAAATGATATAAAAGGGTCCCAGGAGAGAATGTGATGAAGAGCACAAATGAAAAGGGGACCCCTGAAGGGCGAAGAAAAAATTTTTTCTCAGAAACCAAAGTAAGATATATAAAAAAAATTCTGTGACTAAAAAAATACATATATGAAAGTGCTCATGTCAAAAAGCCAATTTACTACCCATCTCCCCCACTAAGACGTCCCCTTGTTGAAAGGACAGAGTTTATCCGTCTGTGGTAATCCAGGGCCTAACAGAGAGTTAACACATAGTAAATGCTCAATAAATGACAGCTGTGCAGAAGGAATGACCATCTCAGAGAAGAGGAGTCATTTGCTAAGAGAGACATGACAGGATGAAATCAGAGACTAGGGGAGAGGAGAGAGGGTTTGGTCCAGTTAGAGAGGGTAACATGAAACTCTCAATCAATGAGAAATGAATAAAAGAAATGGCAAATAGCAGAAAGGACTCAGCCTTGGATCCCAAAACATTCTCAGAAATTACAGGCAAGCTGACTGGGCTCAAGAAAGTGTAGCTCAGGTTCCCCACTATGGGAAGTAGAATACTGAGAACCAGCAAGTTCTTAATGTAAAACTCAAACATGCCTTGCTCCAAAGCATACAACCTAACAGGCAACGGAACTTTGTAAATCATCGCCTTATAAGGCATTCCTATAGCATACACTTCTGATAAAGAAAACACTGAGAATTGATTGCTGGATGAAATTATTCAATCTTTATTTAGATGCCCCCCCAAATCTAACTGTTTACTACATAGGGTTTTCTAAATGTCTATGAATTTATTCCTGGCTAACGAAATTCCCCAAAGCAAACAAAAATCAAAAGACTTTATGCTATGTCACATATGAGATGTGAATGACGAAGTGGGAGATGTGGAAGAAATGTCACTTCATTAACAAACATGAGACGAGGCTGAAGCGAGCCGAGTTCCACTCGTTACTGCGATGATGCGCGTCTCCAGAACTGCAGTTGTGGTCCAAAGTTACACCAACCCTCTGCACAATTAGTGAGAGCTGCATTAGTGGGCCTGGGCACTCTCAGTCCAGAATCCCTCTAGAGAACAGGGAAATGATGAGTTCCATCACCTGGCCAACATCAGCAACCGCCAAACAGTTACCTCAGGGACTTGGACAAAGACATCCATCCGCTGTGCTGGCAGCCACTATCGTCTGCCTTCCTAACAGAGTCCTTTCTGTGAGGACCACTGTCTAAGTGACCTGTCATAGAGCTTTATAAAGCAGCATTAATACTGTGGGCCAAAATGAGATTGATCTTTGAGCTTCGTGGTCTCCTGTTGTCAACGGTGCATTATAAAACCAATACTAAATACTTTATAAACAGGTCTCCCTACAGTGTATTAGAAAAACAGTGCATATTTCATGCCCCATAGTTAGGTAGCCACATATCCATCAGACTAATAAATTATTTATTAGGTGCTCAGAAGTGCAATAAGAGTCAATAAACTAACTTCTGAATACTTATAAGCTACTATTTCACTGGAAATTGTACCTGAATGAGAAAACTAGCATGCTAACTGAATGGGGGATGGAAATATCCCAGCTCTCTCAAGTGTACAGTTCAAAGGAAGCACAGGCCTCAACTGCGAGAAGGGATAAAAATTTCTGTGCCCTGCAAAGAGTCTTGGTTATTGAACTTAGAAAACACCATCCAACCCCATGTTCATTTTCTTTCTCTTCTGTATAGTTTTCTCTGGTCCTACCAACCTTGGAGACAGCTCAGAGAAAAAAGAATTGGTGGAAACATTTCGAACATACCCTGAATCAGCCCAGATGACAACCACCACCAAGGTTCACGCTTGACATTTCCAAAGAAACTACACGATGGCTTGAGTGTACAAGCTTTCTTCTACATGCACAGTGTGGAACCTGGCATTTATGAATCTCAGGTTTAGAGTAGCATTTTTTACTTCTATTTTCAGGTAAAACTCCCAAGACAGTAGACACCCTATGATAGAGAACCTGATACCCAGTCCAACATCCTCAGGCATCTCTTTCCTGGTCCAGCCCTCTGAAAAAGGACCTTCTGTTCAAGAATTTATTCCAGCCCTTCAAAAAGAAATTTCTTCAGCTGGGAGTTATTTCCCAAACTATCAGAGGCGTGGACCTTTGTGTAGTATTGTGGGTGCCATGGTTTCACATGTTGGCCACATTAATACTGGAGAGCAAGCATCTGTAACCCACAGCTGAGTGAGCTCCAGCCCCAAAGCACCCGCAAGGCCAATGCCAACGCAAACCACTCTCCCCATCCCACATCTGAACCACACTGGTTTCCTCCAGGAGCCAGGGGCTGAGATAGGGTTCTGAAAAAGAAAGTTTTGGGTTCTTTCCACTCACATGATGGGTACAGAGTGTTGAGAAGAATACTGCCAGAGAAACTGGCTCTTTTTTCTCTCCCATTGCACACCAAGTGAATAAACCATGAAGAGGTTCACAGCGTCTAATGGTGTTCCAAGATCTCCGGGGGGGGGAACCTAAATGGATAAATATATAGATTTTTGCACACCGTTTTTGTTTTTCTTTCTGCAGTCTCTTAAGTTTTACCTCGATAGGCTGGAGATTTTAAGGTTGAAAAATGTATTAGGTGGGTAGGAAAAAGAGGGGGAAATAAAGGAGAAACATAGGAGAAAGCTGATTTCACATCACTTCTCAAAGAGGTCTCCCCGAGTCCTAGGAATAATGAAAGAGTTGATGTAAAAATGTACGACAAGACTAGTTTCTGGTATTCCTTTTGCTACAACCACCACTCCAGCTAAGACAATTATTCATATTAATGAGCTTGGTATGTAGACAAACTATAAAAGATGCAGTCTCTGACCTCAAGTACTTATCTCTGTCTTTGGGGATTTACTCCTCCTGCTGGATTTACTTTTATTCTTCATACCCTTGCCCAGAGGAAGTGATCATCACTCAGGACTTGGAGCATTTCCATGGGTGGGGCTTAAATATGGCAACGAGAAGAGAGGGAACTTTTGCCCCTGGACAGAGACCATGGTGGCCCCACAGCTCAGGATGTCTCGTTTGTGACTAAGAGAAATATAAACTCCCTGTGAACGTGTTACAGTGGCCTCACTGAGCTTTATCAGAAAAATCTTATAAGGTGTGAAAGCAGATGGTCTTCCAGGGCTTTATCACATCAAGTACGCATACACGCAAACTGTATCATCGCGCACAAATGTGCTCAGACCAGACAACAGTCTCTACCTACCCTTTGTATCCGGCTATTCATGTTTTGTGTGTGTGCTTATGGCATATGTAGGACACAGAGATCCAGGGACTCAGCTTTGCCCAGCGGTTAAGCATCAAAGTTCTGCAGTCAGATTACTGGGGTTTGAAGACCTGCGGAGCCTTTTACATGGCCTCAGCAAGTTACTTAGTCCAAGTGCCAAAATTCCTTATCTATAAAAAAGAAATAATACTAGTTTCACCCAATTGTTGTGAAGCTTAAATATTTTGATTAATGCAAAAGGTTTCGCTGAGTGCCTAGCACATGAGCGCTCAGTAAATATTAATTGCTGCCTACGTATATGTGTGTCAAGAGAGGTTTCAAACTAGAAGGCCACAGGCCACATTGCTTTGCTTGGCTCTGTACCTGAGTGTAAGTGTGTTTAATTATTGGCCAGTGTGTAAAAAAAAAAAGATGAAGGAATTTTAAATTAAACTATGGATTTCTAGCTGCTGGGGATGGGACAGGAAGAGGAAAAGGGTGGAGTGTCAGGGAACTAAAGACATGGCCACAGAAACTGTGTTTCTTCTGCAATGGAGCAGAAGCCCCTCTTCTCAGCATGCTCTCTCAGCTGGGCACGGTCTCCACCACTCCCCCTTGTTTACAGCCCACCTTTTCCCTCAATTCCATTACTTGCTGGGCCACTGTAGCCACTTGAGTTTGTGACCCTTGGCTGTAAGGCACCCCTCATTAACCTGGCTTACATATATGGAGAATTCCTTCACACATAAATCAAAGTCAGATTTAAATAAAATGTCAAGTACCAAAAATGTTTTCTATTATGTCTACCTTTGACAAAAATAACAATGAAAAGTATCATGTGCCCTTTGCATTTTCCTAAACCCTATATTGTTAGTAATATATATAAACAGTGAGTAAACTATTACCTGTCACTGGCTCAGCACCTCTGCAGACATGGGCTTTGTGACAGCTATTTCAGTAATAGTGGTTCTCAAGTGTATTTGTTTCTAACCAGCAAAGACTTTTTTTTTTCTGGAGAGGAGTCTCTCTTTTTTTTTTTTTTTGGTGAGGAAGATTTGCCCTGAGCTAACATCCCCTGCCAATCTTCCTCTTTTTGTATATAAGCCACCACCACACCACTGAGAGATGAGTAGTGCAGATCCACACCCAGAACCAAACATGGATTGTCAAAGTGGAGCGCCCAAACTTAACCACTAGGCCACTGGGGCTGGCCCAGTGAAGACTTTAGAAAGAATTCAGGGGCCGGCCCCATGGCCAAGTAGTTAAGTTCGTGTGCTCTACTTCGGCGGCCCAGGGTTTCGCCAGTTCAAATCCTGGGTGCAGACATGGCACCGCTCATTAAGCCATGCTGAGGCAGCGTCCCACAGAGCACAACCAGAAGGACCCACAACTAAAAATACACAACTATGTACTGCGGGCTTTGGGGAAAAAAAGGAAAAATAAAATCTTTTTAAAAAAATTCATACTGAATATACACAGTAAGAAGCAGGAAACATGGACCCCTTGGCATCCATACCCTGAGACACCTATGCAGAATTGTAAGGCTGTACCAAAAAACTTTAGAAAGTTGATTTACTCCTATTGCTTTACTATACAAACAGAGAAACTAAGGCAAAGTCAAAAAATGAGCCAGTGGCAGAGCCTGGACTGTCTTTTGAGGCTTAAGTTTCCCAAGCTGCTTTTACATCAGAGTTCAAAGCAGCAGTCCAGAAGGTTGAAAATCCAGTAGTGTAAAAGGGCCGTTCCATTGACTCATGAGAACCAACTTTCAGGAATTTTACAAGCCAGCTGACTTCACACTGGTAACTTGAAATCAGCCATGATGAGAATATTTACACCACAGCAATCAGCAAATACTACAAATTAGAGCTCCCCACCCCGTAAACCAGTTGTTAAACATTTCCAACCACATCACTGGTTGAGATTCTGACATTTGGCTAAGATGGGCATCTTCACACGGTACACGTGATCATGTATGTGTCTTTTTACCTCTTTCTAGAGATGTGAAGATTTTGATGAAGTGTAAGAAGAAAACCAAGCCAAACACTTAACATTTACAAATCAGTGGAAAGTCTGGAGTACCTACTATGTACAAGGCATTGTGATAAGTTTTACAAAAGTTACAACTGCAGTAAGATCTCAGCATCCAGACTCTGGAGGATGTTACTTTTTATTTATTGAGTACCTTTTGTGTGCCAGGGACTGTGGAAACCATAAAATATTTTTTCATTTGTTCTTCACAAGTCACATGAGATAGGTATTATTATTCTCATTTTACCAATAAGGAAACTGAAGCTCAGAAAGTTAAGTCACTTGGCCAAGGTCTTGTATTAAGTGTCAAAGTGGGGATCCAAGACCAAGTTGGTCTGGTTTCAAAATATGTGCTCATCCCAATATTCTGCTTTGCCTCCCCTGGTTTCTACCATTTTAGACAAGAATCTTCCTAGGTGTTGCATATTCCCCCTATGTTTTTAAAACAGGACATATCTTTGTTGATACTAAAATGTTTCATTTTGAACATCAAATTAACATGTAGTAATACACTTAGGACTTGTAAGGGCTTGTGGGGGGTATGGGGCGGCTCTGATTGCTCCTACAGGGAAAACAAATCTTTGGGAATGCTCTATTTTTACATTTAAAAATCTACCATTTTACCCTTTTGTAGTTAGCTGTAATTGCATCTCTAATATCTGCCTTTTTCCCACTTTTAGAATTTGCTGTTTTATTGTACTATGAGCCTTTCCAAAGGAATATTAAGCAATTATTAAGAAGAATGAAATAAAGCTGTAAGTATTGATAAGGAACATGTTCAAATAAATCATGAGGAAGAGGCAAGATACAAAACAACAAACACAGTGTACTACCATTTATGTCCAAAAAAGGAAAGAAAACAACTAGGGAGGAAGGTAATAAATACACCTGTATTTGGACTAAGCTATTTCTGGAAATATCTTTAAGAATCTGGTAAATAGAAATTATCTCTGAGGAGGGATGGGAAATCTCTTTTCTCCATATATACTTCTGTACTCTTTTCTCACTTCTTAGAACAATATTTATGTAACAGCAATTATCGAAACAAAAAAATTTAGAGTTTTAGAGTTTTCAGGTTCCAAGCAAAATGCGGGGGGAATGACTGTCTTAGAAGTTCAATATGTAAGCTTGGAGGTTCTGTGGCATCTCTTCAGGATGCTCAAAAGCACTGTTTTTCCTGGGTCTCAACTGTGCTCATATTTGTAAGGTGTTATATTTAAGACAAGGTCCTTTACTTTCACCTGACATACAGTGTAGTTGAAGAGATTATACGTAAGCACAAGAGTTAAATAAAAGACACAGGGGCCAGCCCGGTGGCACAGCAGTTAAGTGCACACGTTCCGCTTTGGCAGCCCAGGGTTTGCCAGTTCGGATCCCGGGTACGGACATGGCACCGCTTGGCAAGCCATGCTGTGGTAGGTGCCCCACACATAAAATAGAGGAAGATGGGCACGGATGTTCACTCAGGGCCAGTCTTCCTCAGCAAAAAGACGAGGATTGGCGGCAGATGTTAGCTCAGGGCTAATCTTCCTCAAAAAAATAAATAGATAAAAAATAAAAGACAAAAGTAACTGCCTTCTCTTACTAAACAGAAGTGCCACAAGTCAGTATTTGCATCATTAGCTACAATGCTTCCAGGAGCTTAAGTAATTTGGTCAAAAAAGGGATATGACTGAGCTTCTTGGGGTAAGGAGAATATCAAAAGACAAAGCCAACATTCCAAATGGGTGGAGGGGCATGAATAAAAATAAGCGTACGAAAGTATCGTTCCTTAGGTAGACTAAGGATGTTAGTAGGAGATGAGATTAGAAAGAGAATACACAGCAAACTGTAGAGACCTCGAAATTTAGACTTTCAGTTTCTGAACAGAAAAGTTAAATAACGGCAGCTGTGTTTTGTCTGGGAACAGTGTGCAAGATGTATCAGAGAGGCCGCCCCGTGGCCAAGTGGTTAAGTTCACGCCCTCCGATGCAGGCGGCCCAGTGTTTCCTTGGTTCGAATCCTGGGCGCGGACATGGTACCACTCATCAAGCCATGCTGAGGCAGCATCCCACATGCCACAACTAGAAGGACCCACAACGAAGAATATACAACTATGTACCGGGGAGCTTTGGGGAGAAAAATAAAATCTTTAAAAAAAAAAAAGATGTATCAGAAAAGAGAGAGAGCTGAGGGAGAAGCATTCAATTAGGGGATTTGTATTGTGTTCAAACTTTCCCCTAGATGTAAGCTCCGAGAGGAAAGAAGTCTGTCAGTTTTGTATCTGTCTATACCACAAGCATCTAAATACTTGACACCACAGTAGACACTAACAGAAAATGCACAGCCCATCACACGACACGAGGACCCAAAGCAGGTGATAGTGAAAAACAAACGATTTAGAGTGGTTTGGTTTTGTTTTTTAAAGGATCTACAGGAACTGATGCTTACACGAATTTTAGCTTTCAGGGAAAAGAAGGAGTCAAAGATAATGTAAAGATTTCCGGTTAGGAAAAATGGTGGAGGAAGGATATCCTAAAATTAACACTGAATTGTATGCATTAGATATAAATTGATATTTTACACATACATGGTATTGATGAAAGTATTATAGAGTTAAAATATTTCTACCTAAAAAGTATTCTCTGAAGTTAATAAATGTCTAAATACTGAAATTATGCTCTATCCTCAATTCTCTACCATGTATTCCTGCCTGGCATGTCATCCAATAGAACAGCACATGGCTTCACCACTCCTCACTAGGCTGATTATACCATTTCCCTTAGAGCACCTACTCTATTTGCCTTGCACTATAGAAATATATACATGGGCTATCCGTTTGGCAAGGCATCATCTATCCATGTCAGATGGGGTGGGCATCCTTCCAGAATGCCTGGCATACCCAATCAGCAAATACAAGTTCTCTCCCAAACAAGTTCTAGATTCTGCTAGATTTCTGCACCTGAATTCCCTTCTTGCTTAGAACTCAATCTCTCTAAACTGGACCATAAAACGGTCTCTCCAAAACTGCTGCCCATCAGCTTTCACATTTTTGTTAATGAACAATTGCCTCCCCCCCCCAATCAAGGCTTGAAAGCAAATTCATGCCTGGTCCACCTCTGTATTCTTACCAAGTTTGGCCCACTGCCTTGCATTCAGGAGTGTTTAAGAAAATTGGTTGGATGCATGAACACATGCTGAATAAGTGAAGGATTGCATGAGTTTGCATGCATAACTTCCATGAGTTTCTACGCTAAGGAGAAAAATTCAGGTCATGATTCCATTGAGAGTTCCCTCAGCCGCTAAGGCAGGCATTGCTAATTGAGCACAGAACTTTTTTTTCTCCCCACCCACCTCACCCTCTCAAAGCATTCACCACCAGTCAGTCAAAATTCAGCCCAAGGTGGAACATATTTGTCATCCCTGAAGTATGCCTTTTTTAGGTTCCAATTTGGTTTCATTTAAAAAGGTTTTCAGGTAAGCCCCAAAGAAAAAACTTCAAACACTCATAAGGTCAAAACTAAATCCAGAACTGTGAACTTACTTACAAAATATTCTTTTCTTTTGCATTTAAACTTGGTAAAGATAAGTAGTATACTGTGACCACTGGAGTACCTACCAGGTGAAAGATGTAAAATAAAGAGCTCAATCTTTCTCCATGATCTCTTCAGTACACAAGTCTAAATGCCTTCAAGGAAAACGTGGCACCACCTCTAGGAGATCGGCAATGAAATCTTCAAGAAAAGTCCACCTCTGTTCCCCTTCAAGAAGTCTCCCTATCTCCCAGTTTTTCTTGCACTGCAGATTTATTTTCTCAAAATAAAAATAAATATTGAATACTATGGAGTCTTTTGTCTACAAAGCGTACAAGTAAATCATATAAAAAGTTGTTAACAAATTTTCTAGAAATATTAACTCAATCAAGATGAACTCCCAAGCACGATACTACATGTGTGTATACATATATATTTTTTAAATATATATATGTGTATTTTTTTTTTGGAGGAAGATTAGCCCTGACTTATCCACTGCCAATCCTCTTCTTTTTGCTAAGGAAGACTGGCCCTGAGCTAACATCCATGCCCATCTTCCTCCACTGTATACGTGGGATGCCTGCCACAGCATGGCTTGATAAGCGGTGCTTAAGTCCGTGCCCAGAATCCAAATCAGCGAATCCCAGGTTGCTGAAGTGGAGCGCACAAACCTAACCACTACGCCACTGGGCCAGGC